TCTCATTTGGCATACCACACAACACTATGGAACAAGCCATCATGGAACGCACTCATGCCACCCTTAAACAATATTTTAATAAAATAAAAAGGGGGAATATAGGACCTCCCCCAAGTTTCAATTATCCACTATACTTTATATTTTAAATTTTTTGACTGTAGATAAAAATAACCTGACTGCCATGGAGAAACATTGGAACAAACCCTCCCAAACATTGGGATGGGTTAGATGGAAAGACATATTACAGGACAATGGCAACCGCCCACCTCCCTATTAGCTAGGGTCTGAGGGGCAGTTTGTGTTTTTTCCCTAGGAACAGAGAAACGTATTTGGATACCAGAACGGCATGTTCACCCTGTGGATCCTGATCAGGAACCTAGTCCTGCTTTAATGGAATCCCTGGCCCACAGAGGAACGAATGGTTTGGGTCTTGGTGAGGAACCCCCACAAACTGATGCTGTAAGACCCGCGGAGGGCGTGGACCCTCACGCCCCGACTCAGGAAAGGCGCCCCCCCAAATCACTCACGAGAAGTGGTCTTGATGCAAAAGCATGAGGTCTTTTATATTCCAGTGCACTGGAGTCCACAGCCACACTCCAAGTTGGGTAGAGGATTGGGAACCCTTGGTACAGGGTTCAGACAGCTTTTATAGGGTTACAACAAAGCCCGCCCATCACAAACCAATCATCTCATAGCGTCCACTGCGGACCAATCAATTTGAACTATCCAAGCCTGAACTTAGCCCAGGAAGTCTGCTTCTGGGTAGTGTGGCAGGGCTCATTTCCTGTTCTCATTCACTCACAGGTGCCCTGTTGTAAACAGTCATGAATGACCTTTTGCCTACTCACTGCTAGGGGGCAGAGTCTAAGGAGAATTAGGCAAAAATTTTCCATCCTTACAATACCAGTTAGTCAGAAGAGAACATTCCCTGGGACTACTGGCTGACAATGTGCCCCTAGAAACTTCCTGACACAGGGGAGCCTATGCTTCCAGAGAGTGCTTAATGTTTCTCAATTGCCTAATGGGTCATTCTCAGTGTCGTCCATAGCTTTGAGTAATGTTTCCATTGCTGATTTTCACTCCAATGCCAGTATGAGCAATTGCTGGGGACTTAGAGATATCCTATATCATAAACTTCCAGCAGGAACAGGAAAATACTGCTATATGGCCCCCCAGATCCGGGCCCCTAGGCTGGAAGCTCCCCAGGAAGTTATGACTTGCATAGGCCTTGCCTTGGCGACCCTGTGCTCCACCTTTAATGGGTCCCTGGGGGAGGGAGAATCTCTCAATTGTTCTTCCAGAACCTGCTCCCTGAGCAACTGCTGACCCCCAATGGACACCGGTGCCCTGGTAGTTCTAGTTCCTTCCTCACCCCCATGATAATGGAAGACCGACAAGGGGGAGAAGAAATTATCATCTACCTCCAAGAAGGGACTGCTGTTGCTGTGTCGCCGACTGCTGCTGTTATTGCGGGGATTGCTGTCGCTCAGTTCGCTGCCAATGCCTGTTAACCAGCTGGCTGGCAGGATCAGCGAGGACCTAGCTGTGCAGAATGCCCTACATGAATGCTCATATTTGGTTTGGACTCTCATATTCAGTTTGGACTCCTTAACTTAATTCAGCAAACTGCCTTACTTCAGAAACAGATTGGGGTTTTGGGTTGGTGTCATTCCTCTTGTGTCACCTTGATTGGAATGCAAATGTCTCTGTAGGGGCCAACTGCCTCAAGGCTGGCAGGGCCTTGTCTTTTGTTAATTTTACCAGTGTTTTGGCTCACCAGAGGGTAGAGGTCAATAAGACCTGAATTACTCCTATTTCAGCTGAGGGCTGGTGGAATGCCATGGCCCAGATTGGAGGTTGGTCACAGTTTTGGGGTGGCACATTTTCTCTCAGTGACTTGAGGCTTGTAGCAGTCGGGGCAGGGAATCTTGTATTATGCAAGATGCGACAGCTCTTTTCACAAAAGAAAGTCAGTCTGGCTCATGGCTCTCCTGACAGTCATGAGGACTGGTTACAGATGCTGCAGAAATGAGGGTCTCCCATGACGGGCAACTTGCAGTGAAGCCCCACACCTAAGACATGGGTCGCCGGGTCCCCCGAAGATGGGTAAGGGGTGGCACACCCTGCACGACCTAAGCCAGGGGTCTCTCATAGAAAATAAAAAAGGGGACATTGTTAAGAATTAAGACCTTGGCTAAGAATTCACTCCCCCTCCTGCTGCCCTCAGGGCAGGCAACTATAACAGCTGGATAACAGGAGAGATACTTTCTAATGCAAAATGCTAATGCTCTTTTGGCTCCCACAGCCCTGAAAGCGCCCTTGGAACCTGAGATGACTAACTGCCCCTTTTGCTTCCCCCTCCTCCATCTGGTGCAGGGGTATATAATCTAGCCCCTGGAGTAAAGTAGAGAGATAATAGAAAAGCCTTCTTAATATCAAGAGTACAGTGTTATTAACCTCGAGACACCCTCTGCAGTTTCTTGGGCTTCTACACAATTTCATAGGTTTCCTGCTATGGCTCTTACAATATTCCCTTTCTTTTGTGATGTTCCCTGTGCCTTAGGCACAGTAAATGCAAAAGGAGAGGGGTAAGGGAAGAAAAAGTAATAAATACTAAGGATGCTTGAAAAATTCACATTATTTTTTATTTACCTAAATTACATATAACGTGTGTGTGTGTGTGTCCATGTCCACCTGTCTGTCTTAAATGAAGTTGTACTACTTTGACTGATGATGCAATCCCCACAAGCCATAGACTATCTAACAAAAACTCTGTATTAGGCACAAAAACAGCCCTCTCAAGTTGTTGATCAGGGAAGTGCAAGAGACTTCTCCAAACAATATAGGCTATTGTGTTACTCTTGGTTACCTCTCAGAGGATATAAAATAGGTCTACAGAAAATTAGACCACAAAAAGTACAGATCAGAAGAGATTGCTACCAGACTTGCCTGGACTAACATTCAGCCCCTAAAACAAAGATCCCAAAGTTCTATTGTCAATTTGAGTATATTGGCATGCTGAAATATGCCAATAGTACCTATTGCTGAAGACATCCTGCACTTTGGACATAGGATCAAATTGGATCTGACTTGGAAAGCCCATTGTTTTCAGGAAACTTCCAAGTTTGGTATAAATCTAGGGCTCCTAGAATTTGAGAGTAAAGAGATACTGTTGAGGATATAAGAAACAAAATTGAAGTTGAATGTGAGAGCCTGCAGAGGGTATCTCGAGGTTAAAAAGAATGTATTTAAAACAGCCCAAGGAATATACACCAAAGATACCCAAGATGTAAATCCTTGTGCCTGCTAACCTTCCTGAATAATCCAGACTTGTACCTGGTAAATTGCTATTTCAAAAGAACTGAGTAGACCGTAGGCTCTAGGGAGAGAATCTAGTACTATTATTCTGTAAAATGAACATAGTATTAAACTGCCTCTTAGATATCTTTATATTCAACTTCCCTCAGAGGTTTCCTTTTGTAATAAAAGTAGATGGTGGTCAATATAGACTCAAAATTGGTCAAACTATAGTACGACTGAGAAGTACTCAGCCTGACTGGGTCATGTTTATCATCCCTCCACCCCAAGGCAGAAAGACTGTTAAGAGCTAGAGGTAGGGAAAGAATTCTGTGGAGTTTTCTGGACATGACAGGGCTGTTGCACACATGAACTCACAGTGAATGACTATACATGCACAAGATTGGCACAGTATCAAACCAGCCAAAATTCTAGCATTGGTGGACATTCCACCTCTTCCTATCTTATGAACTTTGCATCTGACAGCTGCTGGGCACAGTGGGTAGAGAGTAACTTTTCAAGGATTCAGTCCTGCAGGCTACCCATGCTCCAGTAGATGGCCTTATAACCATGAACATATTGGTAACACTAAATGGATTTAGTCAGTGAGTTTAAAAAGAAATACTTGACCTTTGGAGATAAAAGTGGTAGTGAGGAATAGAAGGCATAGGAGGGAAGCGAATCTGGAGTAATTCATACAAAAAAAAAAAAAAAAAAAAAAAACCGAAAAGATAATTTAGTTTTGTTTTCGTGAGTTCAGAGGGTAAGGTGCTTCCCCGGGAACCCATAGCATGGAAAAAATGAACTTTAAAAAGTTGTAGTCTGACTTCCACATGCATATTGTGGTACAAGTGCACACACAAATACACACAATGAAATAAAAATGTATAGTATTTTTTTAAAAAAATACAAAGAGACCTACTTGCTCCTCCATCCCCAATGTGCTGATGTGTTCACAGACATAAGTTTAATACTGTTTATTGGAATCCTATGCCTTAACATATTGACATTTTATAATGGAGAACACAGAATAGAATTTAAGTATTTTCTTTTTTGTTTTATATTTTTATTGTTTTTTTTTTCTATATAATATATTCTGATCATGGCTTCCCCTCACCCTTCTCCCCACAGGCCCTTCTCCCCTCTTACCCATCCACCATCTTGCCCCCTTTGTCTCTCTTTAGAAAGCACATGACCCTTCACTTTTTTTCTTTTTCTTTTTGAGAACAGAAAAGCCAGGATCATACTCATATTAAACCTCAACATTCAGGAGGTAAGGAATAAGGGCTGCCATGAGTTTGATGTGAGCCATTCCAAGACAGCTTCGGTTAGAGTGAGACCATGCCACACTGATAAATAGGGCTAGAGAGATGGCTCAGCAGCTAAGGGCACTTACTACTCTGTATAAGACCTGGGTTCAGTTTCTAGCACCCATATGGTGGCTCACAGCAACCTATAAGTGAAGTTTTAGGGGATCTAATACCTTATTCTAATCTCTGTGGATAGCTACAATGACAACAGAGACCCCCCCACACATTCACACACACACTCACACACACACACACTCACTCCCTAAAATAGAAAAAGAACATGTAAAATGATTGTTTGCTTTGAATAATAAATACCGCCTCCAGCCCCAATACATTATTTTTTGCCATTTATGTCAAAATTTAAAACCGGAGCAAACATCTGTCAGACTAATATTTTGCTTTTTCATAAGTGCAACATTTTAATAAAAATTTACATCTAGATAAGATAAACAATCTTCAGATTTTTGAAACTTTAATAAGATTTTAAAAACATGACTTTAAACTGAAAAACATACACATTTTGCACACAAATATCGTAATATGAATCAACTCCAACTCCATTTGAAAACATGTGAATCAAATTACAGTTTTAGAAGTTAGTAATTCACATTTAAGCAAGTTAGCGCCTTGCTGAATTCAGCCTTTGTAAAAAAGAGACTTAGTGCATATTTTAACGGTACATTGTGACTGTGTACCATTTGTTGGTTTTTCACCTTATTAAAGAAGATTACGTTCTTGAAAGTTGGTATATAACGGCTAACCTCCTATGACCTGGAATTTCCAATGGTAACAGTTACATTTTGTAACAGAACACTTTCTATAGATTTCTTTCCTATCTTAAAATGTTAAAAGCAATCATTGTAAGGATTGCATCAACATCAATTTAGCAGAGGAAGATCAAACTTTATTGAAACTGCTTGCATACAAAATATATTGCACTATAACCAAACAAATGTCAACATAATATCCAATCTGTTGTCGCTAATATGTACAGAGAATATTGCCCAAGAGCAGTTACATTACAAGGTCATTCTACCTTGGTTAATTATCTACAGTATTTTAAACTGAACAGCTTACAGATGATGTGTGCAAGGTACCAATTTCTGTTTTCAAATACTATACATTCCCAGAATAAATAACTAGAAATCAACATTAATGTTTGGCAATACTTTTTAAAAGACCTTTTAATAGTTGTGAAATCATGTGCAGTTTGTTACCATTTTATATGCTTATTTGTATGCAAGAAAAAGTAAATGAAAAATGAAAACTCAAAGAAATAAATTCACAAAGTACATCAGAGGCAGAACTTCGGTTTGTACGGCTCTGTACAGATTCAGTGGTACCCCTACTCGGAGTTATTTTTTAAGAAAAATATAACATCTCAGAGTGAAGGTCCTTCACATACTTTTTCTTCAGTAAATTTCATTTATCAAAAAAAGAGAAACTCAATAATAAGACCCCATCAAAAAAGAAAAAAAGTATTTGTTAACCAATCCTAGGTCTGCTTTTCAATTCTGCTTATACATTAGATTTCATATTTCAAAGTTACAAAAAAACTTAACCTGCTTTCAATGTTTCTCAGACAAAGTACCTCTACTTCTGAGGGTTATTATGTATTCATGAAAATGACCTTCATATCTCCCCAAAAATAAGCTTTAACGTAAAATATGAATGAAAAATAAAATTTGGGGAGGACAAAAGCAAAAGTCTCTAAGTTGAAATTCATCATCAGGCCAAAGAGCAGGCATATCCTACTAACTTTCGACCAGGAAGATTTGAAAGTAGCTGAAAACATTTTTTTAAGCCTCTCCCAAATGAAAAGATAGTTATTTCTTCTCCTGTCTATACAGAAAAATTACACATCTCTTCCAATAACACTATTTGTCATACTTCAGTGCAACAAAACAAAAACAAACAAAAAAATGTTCTATTCTTTATACTGCCTATGCTGATGTTTATGTAAAGAAAAAAATATGGAAAGCATGCATTCTTCTATAAAGTACTAATGTTTGACAGGGTTTGCTACATCTTTAACATTTAGTGTTTCCAACTTATCTTCCCTGAACTCTGCATCCAGATATAATATTCCTACCTGCCAAGATATAAAAAAGGCACAGATCATACAACTTTTTTTGCTAATGAAAATGACACGTCACATCACACACATTTCAGGGTCCACTAAAATACTGGAAAAGTGGACCAAAACATAAACTGACACAGGACATGAAATGGCACAGCATTTCATGGAGACTTTATATGAGACTGAAGACAGAGATCTAGTAATGATTACCACAAATGTGATTTACCTAGAAAGACTGAAACGTACTGCTGAGTTATAGCCCAATGCAGGAAAATGGTCCTAGTTAATAAAGATCACTACTTAGTATTTTTAAAAAATAAAAGTAAAATCCTGCCCTGAAGTGTTAAGTGTACTTAAAAGTTATGCTTCAAATTTCATGATCTTTTTGTGCAAATCTGGAAGATTGTTGTTTGTGGCCAATATCAAAACAATTCTTTGCAGAATTTGTGTTCATTTCAATGCTCTGTGCCATCTTGCCTACTACTTGTCTTTGGCCTAACAAAGTTTTCTAAAATGGAGTAAGAATTACAGAAACGGTAGAGGAAATATAACTTCGGAATTATGCAGTTTAGGGTACTCCATTCACGAGTGGTTGCTGCCCATCCATGCTGTCTGGCTTTTCCTTCTTCTGGTTACGATCTTTACCCGTGCGCAGCCGGTTACCTTCACTGGAGGCATTCTGTAATGGTTTAGTGTGGACATTCTTTTCATTATTGTAGTTAACTCTGATCTAAAACAAGTTATAAATACACACACACACACACACACACACACACACACACACACACACACACACACACACAAGATCCTACTTGAATGGCCTGACAAGAAATGTATCCCTGCAATGTGAATTCCACATGTTACAGGGGGAGATCGAGGCAGGATGGATCTCTGAGTACTTAGGCAGCCAAAGTTAACATAAGTGAAACCCCACCCATCTTAACAGAAAGCAGTATTGAGAAGAAAACAGAAGTATAAGAAATTAAAGCAAAGTAGGCTCTTTATTGGTTTAGGTTTTTAAATATTGTTCCTTAGCTGGAAAACAGTGGTCATCCCACTGTGTCAAATCTATGAAAAAAGTCTAACTTTATATTCTATTTCACATTCTTCTAAGCAAAATAGTGAGGCCATTTCTAACACATTACTATCATTGACTAATAGAAGATATATAGGCTATATACAAAATACACAACATACTATACACACACACACACACACAGAGAGAGACACAAAGCACAACCCATAACACAAAATAATGTCGTATTACAGCTTCACCAGAATAAAAACTCCAACAACCCATTCAAGAGCTAACTTTAGTTCCCACCTTTACATCTATCATAAGTATAAGTAAGCTTTTCTCCACCAACATTCTCCACCTCATCCTTTAGAAACCTTTGCAGCTGCTTCAAAGTCTAAATACTGGGGGCTAGGAAGACGGCTCAGCAGTTAAGAGCCCCTGACGTTCTTGCAGAGGATCTGGGTTCAGTTCCTAGTGCCCAATGGTGGCTCACAACTACCTGTAACTCCAGTTCCAGGGGTTCCAATGCCTGATGCACCTATATACTCATACACATAAAATAAATAAATTTAATAATAAGAAAACATTTTAAAATTCTAAATAATGTTGCAGCATAAATTTTTGGTCTTAGTATCAGTCTAGTGTCAACTGTAGAAAAATAGTGTTACTTTCTAGGAACTTGTATTTCAGTAACAAGAGTCATATGGTTCTATAACTTGAATGCTGAAGAATAGGATGACAAGGGGAAATGTGGAAACAATGATTTGTAGAACTAGAATCCTAGGAAGGTATAAAGATTAATATAATTTAAAATACCGTTCTAAGGGGCATAAACTATTTTAAGTGTGAATACTAAACACTACTAACCTTTTTTGTCCTGGTCCTTCAGAAACTGCCATTAAGTTAACACTCCCTTAGATTTGTTACGAATTCTAAAGAAGATTGCACTATAATGATTTTGAGTTAAAATTAGCCAATAATGTATATTGGTTTCTAGTCAGAAAGAACTCTTACTGAAAACTTAGACTGAACAATTACAGAAAAATTCAAAGAGAACATGAATTCTGAGAATGTGATACCAAAGTTTAAATATCACTCCAACATATGTTAGCTAAGTGACTGTGGGCACAGAACTGCAGCTTCTGTTTACTTACCTATAAATTAGATAATAAAACTTCTTACCTCAGTGGATTACCTCAGTAAGATTAGGTGAGATAAAATACACATGAAGCGCTTAGTAAAGGTGCCTGGATTATGTTCAGGGAGTAAATTTGAAATTACTTAACAACTGGTTAAGCACTGACAAAGCTACTTGAGAAGGGATCCTGAGAGTAGACTCTGCATATAAATGAAAAGCTGACCCACAGGGCATGGAAACTAGCTAGACACCATAAACCCTATCTGCAGTTAAAGGGAGAGGGGACCTGATTTGGATCGCTTAGAACATTTCACTCAGAATATTCTAATACTTTTTTTTTCCTTATGGAGAGGGTTGGAGAACCACCAACATGGTCTGAAAATTATAATGAGGTCACCAGTATTCACAAATACTTAAGACCACATATCCTCTGAAGAAATCCTCATATTTATGTATTTATCATAAAGGACTAAGATTGTCCACAACTGTAATGCTGAAGAAAAAAATATTTAATATACTACAAACATATTTAAAAATAAAATAAAATAACCTCTCAACTCTCAAATGGCCACATTCAAACAAATAGATGGAAAGAATCACCTAAGTTTTACCTGCAAGGATCCATCAGCTGTTCTTCCTTTAGCCTCCCTTGGATTACGTGGACGATTATCTGTTCGGGAATGATCGTCGTTTCCTGTATAAATATTTTTAGAATGTCAACAGTTAGTGACTCTGAAACACTTGCTCAGATTCACCATTTAGATCAACAGTAGAAACTAAAATGCAATAAAGAGTCTACCAATTCCAAGTATACAATGATTAATAATTCATTCGAACAAGAAACAAAATATTCTGAAGGTATTATCTTATGAATCAACAGGTCAATATGAATTAACAATCGTCTGATGATTAGAAACCCCATAAATAGTATGAATTAGTTTTCATTATTTATTCATAGTTTCCACAAATCATAATGAAGGTGTTTATTCTGTCACTTCACAAACAAAAATATAATCATTTGTTATGATGATAATCACAAGACAGGTAGGTTATATTGCCAAGAATTTTTACTCAACATCAAACAGTGAGCAGTTTAGCTCGAGTCTTTATTTCTCTTTAAAACATATTACCTTTTTATTTATTTTTTGGATATGTATGTGTTGGGATACATATACCATAGCTTACATGTAGAAGCCAGAGGATAAAATAGCAAAAGTCACTCCATTCCTTTCACCATGTGGGCCTTGGGGATTGAACTTTGGTTTCAGGATTAGCAGCCAAGTACCTTTATCTCAGTGGCCCTTAATAAACCACTGTACCTTTGAAGCCTCCTCCTCTTCCTCTTCCTCCTTGTCCTCTTCCTCCCCCTCCACGCCGCCGTCCGTCTCCTCTGCGCAGAAAGCTCTCCCTCTCTTCCTCTGTTGGAGCTAATGACCAATCACTGAGTTCATCTCTGTGGTCAGATTCTGTTTCAGAAGCATTTGATGCTTCAGAATTAGTTCCTATCGAGAGTTAAAAGTTATATACCATTGTCTGACTTTTAAAAAAGGTTAATAGAAGCTTCCAGAGATGAAGTTTCAGGGGTGACTCGATATTCTTCCCAATTTAGAAGCCTACAGAAGAATATATTCATTTCCTATGTTTAAAAACAAGCAATTTTAAAGTCAAAATGAAGGGCTTCCCATATCTGAAGTAATTTTGGTTTTTATTTCTTTTAAAGAAAATGTGTTTTGTTAGCTATCTAAGTTCAGAAATGAATGTGCCATGTCTTTAAATAGTTGTGATCATGGAGGAAAAATTGTCTATAATAAATAATGCAATACTTTGATAATCAAAACTTCTATGAGAGCTTTTAATATTAGGCACAAGAAAGAAGGATGTGCACATTTTGGCCAACTCTAAAAGGGGCCAATAAAGGCCACCATGGTATTTATGTCTCAGGGAAGGGTGTTTTGTGGGATTATCCCCAACAAAAGGGATATGCATTCCAGATGCATGGCCCACAATCTTCCCTCCCACTCCCAGTGGTAGACTGAACAAAGATCACTATAAAGCATCACATTATGGCTGAGGGGTTAATGACACAGGGGATGGGAGTGGGGGAAAAGAGCTCCACAGTGAGGTGGAAATTTATTGGTCAAAAGAACAAACTGTTGGGAGGAGGGTTAGGGTTAGGTTCAAGGTTGGCCTTATGAGTAGGTGTCTCTCCCCACTCTGGAATATCAACTCTACTACCTCTCTCTCTTCCTCTGTTGGAGCTAATGACCAATTATAGCTTCACCATTATAGCGTCACTCCTTGTGGATCCTTGAAGGCTTTTCCATCTTAAAGAGTTCCCTTTTGAAATGCAAATATTTGTGAGATGGATTACACCTTATACCATAATTAGCAAGTTACATAGTAGATACACAGTAGAGCAAGAAAGGCAGTAGGAACTCGTAGGTGGGCACTGGGTTCACTGAAAGTTACTGGGAGAAAAGAAAGAAGCACGGATAGAAGAGCTGGGAAGGCAAAGAGATACTTTGCCTACTTCTTGACTGTGCCTAGGGCTGACTTTGACCATGTCACTCAAAATCACCTTATGAGCCACAGGATGCAGACCCCTGATTTACACAGTCCATCCAGCAAGTATGACCAGCACTGACAAAAAATGAGCCACAGTACACAAATGAAAAAAAGTTTTGGCTTAGGTCATCAACACACAAGGGCTTAAGCAGATTTGTCCCCATTCAGAATATGGACAGAACTCATAACTGCCCTGTGAACTATGTGTGTCATTAGCAGGATCTTACTCCACATGTCTCTTGAAATACAATTTAACCCATTGTGAGTTGGAAACCATGTAGGGAGAAACTGTTATTATAGAGTTCTAATGAATAGTAGAGATTAGCAGCTATTAAGTCTAGGAACAGACAAAGTTACTGAGGAAAATGCTTAGTTTGTACCTGAAGTATATCCAGGACCGCGTCTGCCGTGCCCCCTATTTCTGTAAGGTCTACTACCTCGACCCATTCCTTGACCATCATCAGTCACATAGCCTTTTTCCTTATCTGTACGATTTGGTGGTGGTCTAGAACTAGCTCCAATTTGTCGCAACTGCTCATCAATTTGTAATCTCTCCAAACGCAACTGGTCTACTTCCTATTTAAAATATACAAGATAACAGTAAAAATAATTTGACATTTTACTTAGTAATACCTTTCTCCTTTTCATCAGATAAAGAGTATACTGGAAATACTTCAATTTCAATTCTAAATTTATAGTAAACACTGTTAACACAGAATTATCAGGAAACTGAATGGTCTTAAAAAGAAAGACTACTACTGATACACTTACTGATGGCAAGACTTAGAGATATATACAAAAACACCCAGTTTTAAAATTATACTGAATAAAGTTAAGGTTGTGTGATTTGGCACTAGTACTCAATTAGGCTATGGATAAAGCAGAGATATGTTAGTTTTGGGATTTTTTGATGAAAAATTGACTAAAAACAATACTAAGAAGTATGAAAATACAGATAAATGATATAAATTTAAGGTTTAATCACAAACCTTTAAAAAAAATCACATTATAAATGAGCTTAATGAAATTACTTTTTCAGTTAATATTTTAATTTACAAAGGACTATGCTTGGGGTACTTTTTAAAGAACATGTATTATTTTTGGATATAATTATACAAGTAAGGACCATTTATTTCGATGAACTGAAAAAGCTAATATTCCTTTATATGAAAGTGAAAAAAAACAAAACAAAACAAAAAAAAACAAAACCTAGGTCTCCCATCATACCTTGAATACCTCTTAAAATACTAAAACTCTGCTTAAAAAAATATAGCAAACAAAATAAATTGAGTTGAACAAAATATGTCAATTCCAAAATGCACTGATAGACCCTTATACACAGTGCAATAACTTGGGTTCTGTCAAATCCAGATGAAAGCTTCATTTTAACCCTTGCCTTTCTAATATACCCAGGGGCATCTCACTTATTAGCTACAGGGAATAAGATCTCTAACTATAGCTAATATTCAGTGTTTCAGTCAAGAAGAAGTCATAAAAACTAAGTTGTTAACATCTTCTTTCTGAAATCTGGAAAAGAAAAGGAGAGACTAAGAGAGAATCTACAGTGAATTTTACTTTTTCTCTAAACCAGAATTTATAATAAACTGGATAGAAAAAAGATAATACTATAGCTGAGTGAGAGGCTTCCTCTAAAAGTATATATCTAGCTCATGGAATGTGTTATGTAGATATTGCATAACAGAATGAATTCCAGGGTTATTCTACTTTGGCAAAGCAGTCAGTTTTGGTGAGATGCCAGATACAAAAAAATGATTTGAAGATGGAAAGAATGGCAACAGGATAGCTGCCAAAAATCAGATAAGAGCGAGCATTAATTGAAAAAACAAGGGGCATGATAAAATGTAGCACTTTATATCTAGGTCACAATAATTGTTTTAGCTAAAATTATAAAGGAAAACACATACAACAGATTGCACATAAAACACACTGTCCAACAAAAAAATAAATAAGCAAATAAAAGTGGCATCCTACCCATGCAAACCTTGCTGGATGAAACCTTCCCACTTTTACTTATTAACTGACCACCATTAAGAATGAACAAAATGACCACGTACTGCACCTTTTTTATTTTCACTCTTACTTACTAGCAGACTCATTCACATTTTATTAAGTCAGCAAACACATCTTAAGATAGTATCATGAATAAAATAGAACTTAGATTATTTTGTAGACTTTTTCAAAAGGCCTATATAATAATTCTGGTAATAAGACATTATAAAAATGAAAACAGTTAATAATTCATTAAATTTCATGACAATCTGTGCCAAAGGGAATTTGAAAAAGCATTTAGTGTAGTGCAGTGACTTGCCTAAAGTCACATAGGTAGTTCACAGCTATATCGCCAATCCAGTGCTCTTTCCACTAATAGCCTCTGGGTTCCTACTTCCCAGCTTGCACGCTAAAGGAGGCATAACAGTAACAACAGTAAAATATATACAAGAAGACATAAGTAGTTTGTATTTTGATTAACATAATATAGAGAAAAGTATGAAGGCTAAACATATACACAGAGGACTTAATCAAACACTAGTATTTCCTTAAAAATGACATAAAAGGGACAACAAAGCCCAAGTGCTGTAGACACAAAAGTTAGATTGGAAAACAACCACAAAAGCCAGAAGATGTATGTATGTATGCACACACATATATTACATATGCACACATATATGTTTATATATACACACATATGTATATATATACCTAATTGAGTTTTAAGTGTCTAACAGAAGAATAACTATAAATATAGGAATGTATTGAGAACTGAGATATTAGCCCTATGATTTACAATGAAAAACTTAAAAAAAAAATCAAGAAATGAACTAAAACAATGTATTTATTATTTTTACAAGGTCACATATTATTAAGTACTGCTTAGAAAGATCACAGTTTTGGAAAGATTTACTATACAACTTTTAATAATTTAGCACAAGAAGATTGGAAATTAAAAGTCATTCTGGTTCTCACCTTTAAATAGTTCAGATGGTAATCCAAAAGAACAGTGGCATTAGCGATGCTGTCTTTTGTTCCCACAAAAACAAATGGTACCATACCCTGAAAAAGAAATTGTAGTAGTGAACCTAAAGAACTAGTGATGATTAATCTGAAAAAAAAAAAAAAAGCAAAACAACACACACACACGTAATTACTAAATCCTTAGCATAGGGTCTGGGGCAAGCAATAAGCACACAAACATCTGTTTAGAATATAAATCAATATGTAAAACCAAGTTTCACATCTGAATAAGGACAAATCAATGTAGACATTCCTTGAATACCAGATTGCTTTAAGACTGCCATTTAATGTTGGCAAAATAACACATATGTAACTAAAAATTATACAAGCATTACTGTGAGATGTGTAGTGTAAACAAGATGAATACTTATGCTTTAACTCATTTACAAGTTATATCTAAATCAAATTCAGTTTAAAATCAGAGATCAGGGATACAATTGTAAAAATAAAACTCAATCTTGCTAACCAAATCAATAGAATTCAAATCATGAACAAAAATTAGAATAAATTAAAATACACCCAGTAATCTGTATAAGAACAACAAAAATCATGGCAGAATCACAGCCATGGTGTTTTTAACAAGTCCATATAAATTTCAAAAATACATTATGAAAATCTTACAAAGATCAATCATGAGAAAAACTGTGATCTCTATGAATATCACTTTTATATAGGGATAATTTTAAAGGTACAATCTAAATATTTGTGCTTAACATCAGTATAAAAGAAGAGGGAAAAAGAAAACAAACCATTCCGTATCACAACTAGTAGGGAAGACTAACTACTGGTGTACAAAGAGGACCAATTAAGGCACATTCTAAGTTGAGAACAAACAGTTCAATTATTTTGCTAATAAACAAATAAATATACATGGTTATTTGTATTCACATATGACTAATAAAAATTATTATAGTTATAAGTCTTTGGCAAAACTAAAAGATATAGGAGGTCAGGAAGCTGTTCCTTGAGCATTACTCTTTTCTAAACAACATTCTCTTGGTACACATAGGTATTTTAGGGATGCTTTTGCCTGCTTGCATTCGGTATATAATAGGTCCAAGATAGGAAGATAAGGACACAAAATTTTCTTTATCTCTTTACATGAACGCTACTGTTGTTGAAGAATAAACCCCAACCATCAGAAAATAGTGCTTGTAGGCTAATTATCAACTAGTAGGCAAGGCATTGTCTCCTAGAAGCAATGACTATCTGAACTGTCAAGTGCTGTTGAAAACCTATAAGGATTTTCTTATCTGTACCACAATATATAAAAATCATCCCCCATCACCACCAAGAAATATATTATTCCCTTTCTCACTAGCATAGTCACAGCGGCATTAACTGTATTATTTACAAGTGTCAAATATCAAGTGATGGAATACTACATGCTTTCCAAGTAATCATCAAAACAGGCTTCAAATTTTGTGTTGCAGACTTAATTAGGCTGAATTTGAAAAACATCATTTATAACTATTTTCTCTTGCAACATAGCACAAACTGTTGGAAGTACCCCGGGCCTACTCTTAAGTGCTTCATCAGAAGATGTGAATGAATTCAAAGAAATACAATACCTATACTAGGACAAAGTGGTTCTCTGTTCTAAGATGAGAAGTGGGATGCACAGCAGAAAGGAGTACCCAATCCACGTGTAGTTATAGTTCTTTGTATAAAATGTTATTTTTGCTTTTAGCCTCTTCTAAGTCATATCATCCTTATTATAAGCAATTAAGGTCAGATAAGGGACCCTGATCTCAAAGAGCTTACAAAAGGTCATTGGGGAAACCAACAAGAAAACATCTAATAACATTATACTCTGGTTGAGCACACAGGAGCATGGGGCAGATAGGAGACCTGTGGTAGGTAGACAGGGAAAGCTTCACACACAACAGGGTCAAAGTGATATGGCAAATGCAGGAGAAAAAAACAATCCGGGTATAATAAACCCACACTCAAGTTCCTAGTGGACACATCTAGATGCAGCAAAGATTATGATAAATTTATTTTCAGAGAATTCCAAGACCTTCAGTATGTCTCAAATTTCCCTAGAAGACACAGGGGAAGACTGGTAGGAAATGACACTAGACATGGAAGGTAAAACCTTTGTTTGAGATTTAGACTAGGGCTGTGGATCCAAATACCCACGAACACTTCTCCACCAGCCCCCAACCATGAGGGTCATTTGTAGTCTTTCTTAACAAGGGGAATAAACATTAAAATATCAACTTAAAATGTATTTTTCAAGGAATGGTTTCCTACCTGCCAAGCCTTGGGTTCAGGTTTCTGGGATTCCCCTGCTACAACTGATGAAACCACTAACACCTAAAGTAGTATAAGGAATGCAAGTGATGTGATTAACTATAATGAACGATACACAGAAGCCTGAACGCAGGACTTTCACTGCAGGACTTCTAAATGCATTTCTAAATAGTTAGGTTAGTTCAAATAGTGAAGACCAGTTTCTAAAATATGGCTTTAAGAAGTAACTAGCATATCTAATAGAAGGTACACTTTGACTTTTAACACCTGCAAAATTTAAGGAGTTATAGCATGGAAAAAAGTCCACCCTCAACAGAAAAAAGTGATCCCATTAGGTTTAGAGCTTAAGATTTGTCACTGTGAGTAAATAAAAAAATATGCATTACTTTGGTTTGTTATCTCATAGGGTATCAATCATATGTGAAACCACAGAATATGAGTAGCCTACAAATCTAACCAGAGAAAAATAGCTCAAATACCAAATGTGGCATCTGAGCCAAAGATATTACTCTTAATGTGGTTAGAGGTGACAAATTAATTCTTACCCTCTGGACTTTTGTACTGTTAGGTTGAGAAAAATGGGTGCTGTTTTCCATTGTATCTAAATGTTTCTTTTCTTCAGAGGAATTAGGTCCAACCCTTGAATTATTGGAAGGTAGGGAATTTGGTGGCATAATTTCCTTGATAAAAAACATAAAACACAAAAGATAAAAAAGTACCAATTTTAAGATTATTTACTTCCATTACTGTGTCAATGACTTCTTTTGGTTAAGCACAGCCACTTAATTATTTATAAAGATATCTTAAAGGTCAACATATTAGGAATTAACAAATGTTTAACGTTCACCTTTTCCTGTTAAGGATAATGTTTAAGAATACTGATTACTAGAAAGTGTTTTGACATATAAAATTACAATGGATTAAAAATTATGCAATTAAAAAACAAATCAGCGGTTAGAGAAGTCTTAGAAGAGCATGTACTTTGGTTTCTAGCACCCATATCAGACAGCTCAACTCCATTTGAAGTGACCCATTCTCTTCTATGTTATCTCTCTATGTCACATACATATACTTTAAGTGATAGAAAAAAAAACTTTAAAAACACTAAATGGATTTAACTTCAATTAAAATAATTGTTTGCAAAAGAGGGCTTAGTTAATGTGAAAATTATGACTCTGTATGTTGATAGTATCTTCTTTGAGGATTTTTGAATTTTTATTGTTTGAGTATTTCATGCACTGATATGATGCATTTAAGTCATTGTTAACCATACTCCTATTTAGCACCAATAGAAATTGTTTTCTCAAGAAATCACCTCCTGACACTGCTTTCTTTTTGTGTGCCGGTCCACTGAGTTTAGTAAAGGCTACCTGTCTGAGCACAGTAAAGAGGTTATTTGATGGAAAGGACAACTCATCTGTGGCAACAGCAATGAAAAAAAAGACAGGCTCTTTCACAATGACCACTAGTTGTCAATAGTCCCTCTGGAGGGGTACATTTTATGTCAATTATCTTTATTTCTTTTTCCTTGAGATACAGACATTCATTTTTGTAAAGTGTGTTTAAGATGTTTAGCTGAAGCAAAACATAGCTAAAGCAGATAGTGAATTGGCAGGAAAGTAAGAGTAGTTTTAGACAGAAGATAAGAAACTGCACTTTTTAAATTTAAAAGTGAAGTGGATAGGATCTTCAGAATACAATTGCATAAAGGGTCATGTTCTCTCTTCCCACGCTCCACATAAACACTTCAAAGTTTACTACCAATAAGTATATAACCAACGTAGATAGAAGAATGAGGTTGTAAAAGTCAAATCTGAGGATACTGCAGAAAGCGATCATATGTGTAGAAAAAGCACACACAGGATGAACATACTTATTACACAATCCTTAAAAGCATGTACAAAGACTTTCTTTTTGTTTTGGTTTTTCAAGACAGGGTTTCTCTGTATGTTCTGGAGGCTATCCTGTAACTTACTCTGTAGACCTGAGGCAGAGGAAGTCGGATCTCTGTGAGTTCAAGACCAGCTTGCCTCTGCCTCCCGAGTGCTGGGATTAAAAGTATTAGCCAACACCACCCGGCTTACAAAGGTTTTTTATACATAGTATTTGTCATTAATTGCTGATGTAGTGATTTGTGTTTTTTAATAGCAAACTCATGACTACCCATTATAAGATTACAAAATAAGGTAAAGGTTAAAATGACTAATTTAAAGTCCAACATTAGAAAAAAATTGTCATTGGGTAGTAGTGGTGCACACCTTTATTCCTAGTACTCTTGAGGATGACACAAATGGATCTCTGTGAGTTTGGGGCCAGCTACAGAGAAATTGTCTTGAAAAAAACAAAAACCAAATCAAACTAAACCAAAACAGGTTAAGTCTATTGTCCATGGTATCAAGCATGTTTGATAATCAGAACATTTATATTCATGCTCAGTTTTAGAGCACATGCCCAGTAGGCCAAAAGCACTGGATTTGATTTTCAACATTACAAAAAGGAAAAAAAATATTATATGGGTATAGTACAGGGGCATCTATATTAGTAAGTCAAATAAAACAAGACAAAACCCATTCTCCTTAAACAAACCAGAAACATAAGCACTATTACATACCTCTTCTTGTGGGACATTTTTCTCATTTTCAGCCTCAATCCTCACCCTCACAACTCCTGACTTGTCCACGATCTCTTGAATCAGTTTTCCATTTTTTCCTATTACTTTGCCTAAGAAATAAATAATTCATGTTTGGCTTTAAGAAGACATCACTCAAATCCTACAAGACACTCTACTATAAACTATCTTAGAGATTCATATATACATACTGGATTGTAAGATTCAAAACAGAAGCTGTTTAAGAAGATAGTTTAATTATAAATGAGTCTCTTTGATTAGGTCATTATTTAAACTCCTTTGGTCAGGTACTACCGTTGATTAATACTTGTGACTTGATAGGGTAATTTAAAAATTTAAAGGTAATTCAAAGAGAACCTCTTATTTCACATAAGAGCATATACTTTAAACTTGCTGGTACTTTAGTATTTAACATCCTATAAAGCTCTACAAAGGGTATTAATAAAGACCCTTTGTAATAAATAAATAAGTAGATAATAAATGTATCTGCTCATTTGACAATGTCAATTCTTATCTAGCGCTGTTTCACATTTCCTCATTTATACACAGAATTGTGTGTGGTACATCTGCAAATGATGCTCTTAAGTTTCAAAGGAGCTTAGGAATGTATATAAATATCTAAAAGGAAAAGAATATTATTTCTGTGTATAGTCACAATTCAGAGCAGCATATTCATGAGTAAAGCACACTTTCAGATTGCTTTATATATTCATGAATGTTGATTTTTAATCAAGGTATAAATTAGCATAAAGAAAATTGAGATTTTAGCATGTATCTATTAAGAAAATATCTTGATCATGCTAAGTACTGGTGACTAAACAAACTCATTGTAAAAGTATGTAAAGAACAAGCAAATTTTTTAAGGAAGATAAATTGGTGTACATACTGAAGAGGGCTTAAGAAAAACAATAAATCAGTAGCTGAGACTCTAGGAAACTCATGTAATACTTATTATAGCATCTTCCTGAACTCCTGCCTAGCAAACCTTATGGAAACAAATGCTTTCTGAAAAAGCTCAGAATTCCCATCGGCATGACTCCCCCAAACAGAATTCTCTCATTTACTAAAAGTATAAACACAACAAGAGAACTAAATTAGATTGATTTACTGCAACAGGCTTTCTGGTGAAAAGGACTTCAAGCATCCTCTACATTCAATGCAAGGAAACAGATATAATCTCTCCTTTCTGTTAAGAGTCTAATTCTATATGGCAGTTACTTCCAAATTCCAAAGGAACAATTTACTATAATTCTGTTTTAATGAAATGGAGTAGTTATGATTAAACAAAAGAGGGCATATAGTTTTCTACTTTGCCCAGAACTGTGCTGAGAACTACCAATACCTATACCTCCATTAAACTGGTAGACCACATTCACATGCATGATAAGTGAAGAAAAAAGATTCTACTCTCATGAGCTAAATAAATCAGATATCCAAAGTCACAGTTACCAAATACAGCTAAGCACTTCACCTACCATAGCACTATCAAAATAAACTTCAATGGACACCCACGGTTCTAACATAATCACCTCATCCTGTGCTAGGCATATATCGTCTATACTACTGGTATGTATTCTACCATGATAACACTATATTCACATGCTTCTGTTTTAGTATACATATGAGCTACGAATTTTGCTAGTATCTGTACTTTACCTTTAAGCTGTTTTTATTAATAATGGGAAAAATATGTCTCTTGGACATTTTTTGGAATTAGGGTTTTACTATCTATACCCCATGCTATCCTTGAATTTGTGATTCTTCTGTCTCCTGAATGCTGGGCTATTACTAGTACTTTTAAAATGATACTGGAATGCTGGGTGGTGGTGATACAGGCCTTTAATCCCAGCACTCAGGAGACAGAGACAGACAGAATTCTGTGAGTTTGAGGTCAGACTGGTCTATAGAGCAAGTTCTAGTACAGTCAGCCAGAATTTTCTTACACAGAGAAACCCTGTCTTGAAAAAGATTGACTGACCTACCTACCTATGTGACACTGGAAGATGATTATAATTCTATTTTGTAAACTATGTACATAAAACACATAGGACGTTTGTTCTTTTTATACTCCTATAAGAGGTTAAGAAGTGATATGCCCCAATCTCATTTATAAATTCAAAACATATTTTGGTTTTTCTTGTTGTTTTTATATAAAGCTATACCTTTGGTATGTTCTACTAAACACAGATGAATTATTTGGGATGCCAATGAAAAGTTCCTATATTATCATTAATCACACTGATGATTAGGGAACAGTATTAATCATTTTAAAATGAGGAATTACCACTGACTCCATAAAATCCCAATCCCAAGGATACTAGCAATTAATTTATCTTTCAAACTTAATGAATGCTGTATAATTTTGACAAATATCACCAAACTACAAAAGCCTCAACTCTCATTCATCCTCAAAAATTTAATGATATAATTAAAAAAAATGCTATGAGGAGGCTAAGTAAAATTTATAAGTCTGAACTAACAAAGTATTTCTTGTACCTCTACTAAAAATAGAATCTGTGTGTATATATTTTCTATACACTGTAGGAACAGGTTGCATTTCAAAAATTGTTCCAATTTGATTACATTTCTCAGTGACAGAAAGAGATTTAACTGGTACAGAAGTTGTGTACAGAATATTTTTGACGTATATAATCAATAGTTATTTTTGACTTACCTACTAAGTTACGTGGAACTTGTATGACATCTTCAGCAAATTCCAGAAAGCTTCTAGCCTTTTTCACTGCATCTTGATCCTAATAAAGGTGAGTGGGTGAGGTGTGAAGACAAAAAAGATATGCCATTTGAAATACTGTTTGTTTGTTTTAGAGGGGAACAACTGGATTATATAGTGAAATATTTACCTCTCCATAAATATGAAATGTGCAGGTATCCTCATCTAAATCAATAGCAGTGACTCCAGGTACTTTTCTAGCTTGCTGAATATTAGCACCATGAGTACCAATAGCTAGACCCATCAGATCTTCTCGTACAATAAACTGTTCATGAAATCTTGAGGCAAGCTGCCTTGAACTCTAAAGAGAAATACACATCTGATGAACATACTTAATCAATTATGAAGACAATTTTATTTAGGTCAGCCATGTAAATTATCTTGACCCTATATATCTGGGTCCTATAAATTGCTTTATTTGAAAGCTAATTTTAGAATTACACATAAGTTCTTTTTAGGCTATTGAAGGTCTGTGCCATTTAAATGTTTTTTTGTTAGCAGGAAAGAGCTTGTTGAGAGTTTTTCAAGGTTACTTTTGAAAACCTATTTGCAAGGCTGCCTTTGTTAGTCAATGATATCCACAATGTAATAATTAAAAGCACACAAAATAATCCCAATTAAAAAACAGTTCACTTGGTCTGACAGACTCAATGCAATTTAAGCAACAAAATAAATATAGCATCTTTAAGGAAAAAAATTACTCACTGCAATTTTATTATATTACTTTAGCACTTTTTCTAGAAATGGTATAACTTTCATAATATATCACTAGATATGGTGCATCTAAGCATTTTGCTGAAATGTGGCATTAAAACAACACAAAACCTAAAGAAAGACATTCTAAAACTTCCTGGTTTATCAGTTAAGTGAACATTAACAGAATAAAGACTTCTCAATTTGTTTTACATATGTGATCAGAGTCTGTAAGACTTTGTGATCTGGATCTACAAGCTTGATGAACTCTTTAAATATTCAGCAACTAAGTTCCCATGATGCCCCACACATGTGGATAATCACTGTCTTTAAGCAGCATACCAAAACTGAATGTTTAGTTCTAGCATGCCATTAATGAAAACCAAACAGATTAGTGGCTCATGTTGAAAATGGGTATTTCTTACAAGGATATATGAACCCCTTTAATATTAGTAGTGAATAAAATAGGCATGCACACTAGTTTATCATTATTCAACACACCTGATAATTTGAATGGATGAATATATCTAATGTAAGCGATTTCAAAAGAATAATAGTTATTTTTAAAGGCAATAGTAGTAAAGTGTACAAAATCTTCTAGGATTTTCCAAGAAGTCAGTTTTTGGATCTCGATTCATTAGCCTGGTTCATTCTTCCCACTGATAATTTATGGATACACGTAAACCCAAGAGCATTCAAGAATAATTAGATGCTTAAGAAGAGGTGTATGAGTACATTTCCATAATACGAACAATGAAAATAAGAAGGCTGCTGTGGCCTAAAAGTTACCAAAAAAATCACTAAACAAACCACAACATTGTGAACATGGGGGACATCAAGAAAGAATGAGAGCAATAAAACTGATTAGACCTCAGTGGCCATTTGGAAAACAAAAGTACAATTTTTCTTTCCCGTTGAAAGTTTATCAATCACATATCAAGTTGGAAATGGCAATGTTCACATCCTTGACTACCTTTTCTTTTAAATTGGTTTTGAAACTCCCCCTTTCTTTTGCTTTATCAATTGACAATTCCCATAACAAAATGAATAATGATGAGGGCCTCTTCAACTTGACAGCAATATACTTGAGTTGGCACATTAAAATAAAATCCATTTAGTTTCTATGGTAATGGATGGAAATACTTGATAGTTATCAATGAAAATAAATGTATGGTGATGGCAATTATTGGAGGATTAATAAAAGTAGATAAAATGCACCTTAAGAGACGAAATAGTAAGTTAGGGAAATAGCCTCTGGCAGGAATCTGAAGACAGGAGTTTTAAAGAGTGACAACCAATTAGAATGAAGAAGTTCTATACCCTTTTAAACAGAGATAAACATACATAATGAAAGGGATAAGATTAGATATTAAAATACTCTCTAGTATTTTAATGATAACACGTTACATAGAAACAGCACTGTCTCATTTTATAGCAGCTTTGACAAACTTGGCAAAAATGAATTGTCCCAAAATTTTCCTTAAAACACATGACTGTTGTGTAATTTCAAAACATCAGGCATAAAAACTTAGTATGATTATACTTTGTATAATTATATATTGCAAACTACAGGGAAATAGGAAATAAACAAAGTACCCACACTTGAACTTGACAACTTTACAGTTTTTCTGGACAGCTTTACCAACAGTGCTAGGGAAAGAACATACCTCCAGTTGCTTACTGGCTTCTTCATTTCTCAGTATAAGAGACAGCTTAGTGCGCAGACTTCGAAAGTGCATGTCAATCAACATGTGTGCTCGCTTTGAGGTGACTTCATTGATGGACTGAGTGATTTAAAGTTAACAACATTGTTAACAAAGCAAATGCCCTAAATGGGATAAACCAAACTGTACCATTCAAAAAACACTCACCAAAATGACCAGCTGATAATTTTCTGGATCATAAGTTACAGAGAAGGCACCCACTGCCTTTTTAAAATCCTTATGTGCTGACTCTTTGGCACACCTAGAAATAAAAAATTCATTACCATTAATGATAACTACCACAAATACATACAAATAGAATTACATACAAGAAGAATCAAGGATTTATACTAAATTTCTTTCATTGCAAAATGCTTGATCTATTTACAAGTTCCTTTTTATACATCTTTGAAATAGTCAAAGCAAACATTTGATACAATAAAGAAAGTGTAAAAAAGGAACTAGAAATTAAAAAAATTAATTTTGAGAATTTCATACACGACACTGTATCTACATCATCTCCATTTTCTGCGTTCCTCTAGGTATTTTTAAAACATTTATTTACCTGTGTATTCCTACAAGTGCACATGAATGATGTATGTGAGCACACACATGGTTTGTGGGTACCCACATGTGGGTACATGTAGACCATGGCATGCATGTGGAGGTAAAGGAACTTATTGGAGCTGGGTCTCTACTCACACTATGTGAAACCCAGGGATCAAACTCAGGTTGTCAGATATGTCAGCTTGTACACCTACAGAGTCATATCATGAGCCAACTCCCTCTTTTGAGATATGGTGTCATCATATTTTCCTAGATTAGCCTTAAATTATGTAACTGAAGTAGTCCTTTACTTCACAAGTGCTGAGATTATAAACATGCACCACCCCACCTGCCTAAACAGTTATGTTCTTAAGGAATTGCTGTTAGGGTTAGATTGCTGAAGAAACCACATTTAAGGGAATCACTCTCTTCCATATAATTTCTGATTTTGTTTATATACAAGTCAATATTTTTCATGGGCCAAACAAGCTTACAGAGATAAGTCACAGGGTATCTGAATTTCTCGTTAGTTTTCTTTTAAAGAAAAGCAGCTAAGTATATTGAAAAAGAGCAAGAAATACTTAACAACGACTTGCATACATCATCTCGGGAATTAAAAGAGGATTTCTATGTATTCTGAACAACAATAATAGGACATTTATCTAGGGTAGAAGTACGCATCAGACTTACTGTACCTTAAAAAAAAAAAAAATCAAACTCTTATCTGAAGTGTTTAAAATCATTACAGGCAAAAGATTACAGAAAGGACTTTTCCAAGCCTCTTCTGCTTTAACTTTGTAGTCATGACTTTTGATAGGATTATCATTTTGTCATCCTCAAAATTGTAAAAGCTTATGAAAAAGTTGGTTTAGAGAACTTGATGTATATTACACACTTTAGCCATATATAAGGTAGGCTTAAAGAAATATAAGACTTGTTTGATTATACAACTAGGAAAAAAACAATTTTTTTCCTTTTCCACTGAAACCAAACTACTTTTGCCAAAGGTTAATGAATTTAAAACCATACTATTATAAAATTAACCATCTGAATCAGTACCCTATACACACATACATATAAGCATATGTACATGCACATGTACATTTGTATAAATACATAGCCTTGCACATTCCCAACAGTTTTTCATATAGTATGTTTTGTATATCAACTTACATTTGTCGTAAATCTTCTGGCACCTCCAGTTTGATCTTATGGAAAGTATCTTTTGTAGCAGGTTTGTTGGGATTAACAGATCGTAGACGCTCAATCGTGACAATTTCGTTATATGTAGCATCACATGCTGCATATTCTATGACATAAAACTGAGAGAAATAAACAGAAGTCATTCTTAGCTATATTTTTAAAACACAAAAATATAATAATACCTTTTCCTATTTTTTGAAACAATAATTCATAATAGCCCAGGCTAACCTAGTATTTACTATGCAGCCAAGGATGACCTTGAACCCATGATCCTCTGACTTAGCTACTTGAGTGCTGGTATTAAGGACATGAATCACCCTGCCCCACTCTTGGTGTCATTTCGAATATAAACTTTCATGGGAGGGGAAACTTTAATCAATGAAAACACATAGTATCTAATAAACTTATAGTAAAAACATTTTCATAAAACGACTTAAAATTAGGTAGTAATTAAAAAATAGATAGCAAAATAAAAATATAGTACCTGGGTTTAGAAAATGTAAATAGTATGAACAAATAACCATTTTCCTACCTCACCCTTTATCATCCTCACTTTAGCTAACCACCAACAGCAAGGTTCTTTTTCATTTGCTCTGGAATAAACCTACACAAAAATTACAAAACAGAATATTTATGATTAATATAATTCAGAACCAGCATATATCAGATATGTCATGTGTCTTTGAAATCATATGTCACATGCCTTCAACCAAACTGTACCTATATACTGACCTAGATGAAGATATGTAATTGAAAACAACTGGAGAACTTAATATTAAAAGCACTTGGTTACCTCTTTGCTCTGTCAGTTATACTTAGTACTTTCAACACAGATATTGAGAAAATCTGACATCCATAAGATGGTTAGATTTATCTTCTGGAGGTACTTAAATGAGCTACAAAATTGTATCTGAAATCATTTAAACATTATTTCATTTTATTCCAAAAACTAATCCAAACTTATATAGACACCAGCTGCAACTACCTGTTAACTAATTTCATTAATGACTTAGGCCACAAGGGTCCTGGGCTTCATGTTTCCTGAAGGCTACTTTGCTTTTCTGGTTCTTCTTTTACATAAATAAGGACAGATCTATGCTGGCAATCTTCTGAACACCACTTTCTTGCCTCTCATACACAATTCTAATAATTATCTTTTGGGAAACCACTCCAAAGTTCAGTTGCAATGTGTAGCATGGAATCTTTTGTGATGACACTAGAAATAAGTGTTACTAGAACATAACCGTTTTTGACCTGCTGTGCCATCTCTCTAGCTCCTCAGGTAAGTTTTATGCTTCATCTCATTGTACCTTATGTATCTTGCAACTAAGTAACAAAACAAAACAACAACAAAAAGCCCAAAATAGTTTTCTTTACCTCTCCAAAATCTTGACATAGAAACAAAGAAACAAAAACATAAACTGGTCCTTGCTTTTACACAGCCTGCAGCCCACAGGGAAGTTGACAGAAGAGGGTTTTTGAAAAATAAAACAAAATACAAACAAACAAACAAAACATGATCATTCACTTGGTGATGTAAGTGTATGGGTGCACATCTGGAAGTCAGAAGACACGCCTCAGCTGCCTATTCTCTTCTTCTACCATGTAAGTTCTGGGGATCTAATTCAAAGCATCAGCCTTAATGGCAGTACCCTTACCTGCTGAGCCATATCAACAGCCTAAAGATCTTTAGGTTTAGACATCTCTATTTACAACTAAGATCTCTTGCAAAGCCTATCAAGCTCAGGAGACACTAAGTATATTATTCTATTTCCTCATTTAATTGTAGATAACACAGGTTTGAACATTCAGAGACTTTCTCTGATTAGACTCTGAAACAATACTGCTGCCCCTGCATTGTCTTCCTTTTAGTTATTCCCCATTCATTTGACTTTCGTTTGTCATGACATTAGCTATTCCAGCTAGAACGTAACCTAATAAAAGGCAGGCGACTGCCCCGTTTTGATATGCCTGTGATATACAGAGCAGAAAAGTATCATTTATGGACCTAACTTCATTTTGCTTACCTCTAACAAGTATCTATTTATTTGCTTTCGTCATACTACAAATATTCATGAAATTGCAAGAAAAAAGGTATTATGCTAAGTATTGCAGAGAAAGAAAAACAGCTCAAAATGAGGCCTGTGAAGCAGGAGGTAAGAGACCACAAAAATTGTTCATAGTATGCCCTGCAAAAGGACTTTTGGGTTATAAATGTGATCTAAAAGATACAGGTTTCAAAAATATATACCATAAAGATTCACCCCCAATACAACAAATTTTAGGTTACTAGTCTATTAACTAGAACTATTTATTTTTGTTTGTTTTATTTCCTTTTTGAGACAGGGTCTTTTTCAGTAGACTTCTCAGTTGTAGAACTCACTATAAAGACCTGGTAGGCACTGAACTTTTAAGTCCACCTGCCTCTGTCTCCTGAGTGCTGGTATTATAGGCACACCTGACTCTAGATTTATTAAACTTGTTTATGGAGGTAAGGATCTCACTTACATAGAATTGGCCTCTAACTTGCTATTAATAGCTGATAATACACTATGAACTTCTGATCCGCCTCGTAAGTGCTATCATCATGCCTTGTTAGAACTCTTATTTTTCTTTGTAAAACCACTTTTACAAATTCATTTTGCTTTAAAAGTAGACAGTAACAAGAAAAAAAAGTATTACCTAAACAAAGATTTAGAGATGAGGTCAAGAGTATACTACTCAGTAAATGGACTTAGGGCAGTGACAAGATAATCCCTGAGTATTGCTGAAATAGTCAAATATAAGCACCTTATAACAATTCCAATCATTAAAAGTGATACTCAAAAAGAATATGCCCATTTCAATTCTAATACTCAAAGTGGTTTAAGTACTATTAAAAACAAGGTATATTTTAAAAGTCCAAGCAAATTAAATACACAGATGCCTTCAGTTCTTAGTTATTTCATGGCTGGTGCAACTCACCTCAACTTCGTCACTTTCGTTTATATCTTTATTATAACCTACAGGTGGTGGGAATCTCACATCATGGAATGGAATCTGTCTGTCTGGCTGCCAGCTGCAAACAAACAAAGTATCATTATGTGATTAACATGCTTCTGGAGTTTAATGGAAACAGTGTCCATGCTGCAATCAACTTTGGTTAAGTGTGACTCTTTCTTGTTTTAAAGAAGCAAATGCCTTCAAATGGCCAATTTTTTTGCTGAGTGGTGCAACAAAGTCTACATGCAGCATAGCAGCCTGTGCTTCCACACAGAATTTCTCTAAACACAACAGATCAAAACTATTATTTAAGTTTTTTTCATCAAATAATTTCAACTCTGGGACTTTTAAAACCTAAGTCTATAAAAGAAATTCATTTGATGCTCAAATTAGTATTGGTAATTGATTGTTAGTAATATCATCAATGGAGTTCTACTTGCAAAATAATTATGACCACATTCCATCAACACGAAAGAGTGTCCTCTACTTCTGAAGCAACATGCCAGTCAGCACATTAGCAACTCTCAACTCACTTTTCCCCCTTTAAATTTTAGATCCCACGAGGTGGTCAATTCTTGCCATGGGTAGCTGGATGCTGATCGGTATGATGAATCAGCATGGACTGGGTTGGTGGGGGGGTGGCTCCTAAACCACAGAAACCCAATGGAGACAGCCTAAAGGAGTTCAATTAAATTGTCTACATTTCTTAATTTAAAATAATACTGAATAGCTTTAAGATGCCAATTTCTTTTTTCTTTTACTTGCAAAGACACAATAAAATGCTAAGCAACAAATTTTGTAAAGTCACTGGATGATTCAATCACTGGAGCAGTCACTTTTTCTGTAAGAAAACACTGAGATTTGAACTGTGTAAAAAACATTGTTTTAGATTGATTTAAAAATTTGTGTTTATATATATGGCTGTGTGACTGTGTATGTGCATGCACAAAGGCCAGAAGAAAGTATCAGATCCCCTGGAACTAGAGTTTCAGTCCTCTCTAAGAGCAGCAAGCATCCTTAACTGCTGAATAACATTTTCACTCATAAAGCGCCTATATTTTGATAAAGGACATTTTAGTAAAACACTATTGAGGAACTAATTTGTCTTTTTTTATTTCTGTTGATAAAGAAGATTATATAAGAGGACAAATAAGTCAGAATTTGTGGAATTATGTTGAGTGATAAAATTAGGCTGCCTCTTCTGACTTATGGATATATCATCAGAAAAATGTAATTAAAATAAAACAGAACATCCTTTTTATACCTACTGATAACTAATGACTTTAAAATGTTAGAAGTTGATTGGTAAATTTCACCTGTAAGACATACATACAAAATATAAATTTCTTGGTTCCAAAGAAATGACAATGACTAATTCTTTACATATGGAGATAGAGTTTCAAGTCTACTTTCAAAGATGTTAAATATGAAATGTCAAAAGTAAGCACCCTAAACAAGCTAGTCTTACTAAATGAAAGGATCCTACTCTATGAAATACTGTGTGTTTCCTTCCTGCTTTCTTGATAAATCTTCCCCCCCACCCCCGTTTCATATGGAAAGCCAAAAACAAAACAAACAAAAAAACAAAAGAAAGAAAAAAGAGTAGTAAACCAAAATGTCCATTTTGGAAAACAATATCTCACTAATAAGCAGAAAAAAGTATAATCACAATGAGGCTTTTAAAGAATGGTTCCAAAGGACCTAAGTAGGGTCTCAGCACCCTTGTTGGGCAACTTACAACTGTCTCTAACTCCAGTTCCAGGGGGGATATAATACTTCTAGCTTTCATTAACATGTATGCTCGTGCTGAACGAGCACGCACGCGCGCACACACACACACACACACACAGGCATGCACGCGTACACACGCATACATGATTAAAAACAAAAAGTTTAATTACAAAAACCTTATCCCCCAAATTATCAATAATTCCTTCAGTAGAGGTATAATATTATAGATGTCTGTTATGTAATGATGGATCCTTCAAAAAGTAAAAAGGTAATTATGAAACTTTTGTCTTTATGCATTCAGAGAAAGGCATTCTACTACTTAAACTTGTATTGCAGACTAACAGTATTAGTCAGGAGCATGGAACAGGGTTTATTATTCTCAATCTTCTCATCTGTGTTCTTCTACATGTGTATCAGGCATCAAAGGTTACACCTCTCTGTCCTATTCCTAGGTAAATGTTATCTGTGCTTACAGTCTAATTTCAGATTTTTCTAGACAGTGAATTACAGGTCTGCTCTTAATATTTTAGAAGCTAGGCACTTGTGTTTACTTCACAGTATCTATGTCAGATTGCATTTTAGGAGATTTTCTGATTTATAATTAATGAACCACATAATTCACCAATATAAATGTAAATTCAATAGTGTGTATGTAGTATGTTCTCAGATGTATACAATTACTGTTAGTAAATTATAGAACATTTTTATCACGACAGAAATTCTTCTATACTTTAGTTATGGCCTCTCTCCCTCCCCCTAGTAAGTTCTAAGCAATCACTATGCCACTTTATTATCTACATATTTTTAGCCTGTTTTAAAAATGTACTATTTATTAATCATGGTACAGAAAAAGGTAAATGTCACTATTCAGTTGGCAAAATCCTAATATCAGAACCAAAATCATATTTACTTCAGTGTCTCAAATGGCTACTACTGAAAAAAACCCTTATTAGTACTCAAATTTAGTGAATACATTTTCTCCCCCAATAAAATGTTAATACCTATACCACCATCAACTTTTTCACATAGCCCATATACCTAGATCTTCAAGTATTGTTTTATGATCTAGAAACAGAAAGCAGTAAAGATATCTGTCATAACTACTGATTAAAATAAATGAAATATAAAAATAACCTAATGTAGAAACATTTTTTTCTGGTAAAAGTATATAATTAAAAAAATACTATAAAAACTACAACCATTTTTTTCCTACGTTTTCAACTTTTAATAAAATCACAAATATGTCTCCTATTTAAACTCTCAGCAAACAGAGAAAACGTGCCTTTTCTCAATGTAAGAAAGGATCAAGACTATAGACTAAGGGTCTCTGAAGGCATAAGCATGACAAGGCCTTCCACTGATTAATACTGAGCTCTTTGGGAACTTCTTGTTTGGTAATAGGAGACACATGCAAGCCAGACTTCATTCAAAAAAAAAAAAAAAAAAAAAAAAAGGAAACAAATGAAAGGGTATAAAACATTCAAAAAAATCTTCAACATTAAGATTATATAGTGAGAAACTTACTTGTTTTCAAAGGCAACTGTTATAGAATCTTCATGAACATCTTTTACAAATGCCTGGAAGAAAAAATACAACTTATTTTGGAAGGTTAAAGACCAATTAAATTAAATTCTAGAGATATTCCAAAATAAAATGAGTCCCAGGTGGTAGTGGCGCACACCTTTAATCCTAGTACTTGGGAGGCAGAGGTAAGTGGATTTCTATGAGTTCTAGACCAGCATGGTCTATAAGAGCTAGTTCAAGGAGAGCCTCCAAAGCTACACAGAGAAACACTGTCTCAAAAAACAAACAGACAAAACAAAAAACAACACAAAACAAGACAGAATAAAATGGACCTTTAATTGAAAAATGAGTTTCTGATGTTCACTTATTCACCATATCTATTTTGCCAGGTATTATATATTAAGAGTACAGATAATTGCAATACTAAGTAAGAAAAATTGCCTTGGAGTTTTGCAAATTGCCAAAGAGATAGCCACAATGGCCATTACACTTCAGTATTGAGTATGAAGTGATAGGTAAACTTTAGGCTACGTTTTTAAAAATTAATAAACTTGTTCTAGAACCACGTGCCAAGCAGTAAAGGTACGTAAAGGTAACTTCTCAAGTTCTCTATTGTCCCCCTTTCACTTATCTATCTTCTATTTGGTTTTTAAGTTTCACATCAGATTGAAAGTACAACTAAGTTAAATTTAGTTTTTGCCCTATTATCTTTATCTTAGAAATACTTAGAATTAACTCAATGAACATCTATTAAGTGGACTGGTGCCTAAGATGTTCCTCTACCAGCCTTGGTAAAAGATCGGTTTGTTGGCAGTGCTATTACTTTGATAAAGGAAGATATACTGGAACTGAGAGGTTTCCACCGATTCTTAAAGTTTAAGGAAGAATTAGCCAAAGACAGTGGAGGATGGAGAAGCAAGAATGAAAGTGCAGACAAGAAAACACAGCTTGAGACTGGAAATAAGTCATCAATAAGAAAACTGAGACAATGAAGGAAGATTGGGTTTTTAACCCATATTTATGTGTATGGGGATGGGATGAATATCAACATGTCAAGCAATAAATAAATGTTCCTTTGAGAAGACAGCAGCATCAGGGAATCCTGCTCTCACTGGGTGACAGAGAAAATTATTTCCCCAGGATTCATTTCACCAATATGGTACTGGTAGCACACCTTGATGATTCACCTGCTTTAAAATGTATAATAAAGATTATAATATCGGAGGCCAAGCAAGCAATATGTGCAGCAAGGACAAAATCCCTAAGAGGATCCCCAAAATGATGATATGAAGCCAAAGACACAATGGAGACTGCAGACAGTTAGAAATTAAGAGGAATGTGGAATATGCGGCCAACAGCTGCAGGAAGCAAGCACAACATCATATAAGGACACATACATAAACACACACACGTACATACATACTTTGTGTGTATATATACCTATATAGTTACAGGTTTAAATGACAAGGAACCCAAATTTTCTTCCTAAACATTTGATTTTGCTTATTTCCTAGATTTATTTAAATTATTAACATTTATATAGCACATTTTAACAACTCTAGTACAATATTACTCATCATACTTTAGAATATGCCCTATTTCACAAGCAAGCATGCTTCCAGTGTACTAAGGGATTGTTTGTATGCACTATTTAACAATAAAGATGCCTGATTTTGAATTAAAAGTTGTGAGAATTGTTCACCCAGGCTCTTGGTTTTATATACCGTAGAATAATGTTATGGAGAAGGGGAAGGAGACCCATTTCATGTCTGGGTGTCCTTTGTCCTCACACAATAGCTAATACCAAGTTAATATTATTTGTGGGGAAGATTATTAGACTCCCAACTAAAACCAAGACTTCCATTATCCTTCATTTATTTACTAAGGAAATGTAACTGCTTCCTCATCCTTGTTGAAAGTTGTATGATGTTTGCATGTCTTGGAAACAGCACAACTCTAGTTCATTATATACTGAAAATGTTAAACTCTTTATTTAGTCAGTAAAATGAACTTTGGTACAACTTATGTAAAGAATTGTCCTTTGCAAAGCAAAGTCTTTGCCTAAAACTGTGCTGTCTATGGTAAGCAAAAGTAATCTGTAGCTATTTATATTAAAATTCATTAATTCAATGACCCATTCACCAGCCACATTTTGAGTGTTCAAGAGCTCACGGGCTATAGTACCAAATCCTACTTATTTAAAGCATCAACTGTTAAAAGTTTTCAAACCAACCATAAAAGCACTCTTTAAGAGTTAGCTGGAGTCATATGACTATATTGCTGTTTTCTTTTTCTCCCTACTTGCCTAAGTTATTATCTGGTTTAATCATATGCATTCAGTACATTTGCCTATTTCCTAAAAATGAAGCATTCTCTCAAAGGAGAGCTGTAAATGGTATAACTAAAAAAGAGAGAAAGTAAAAAAGATAAAAGGCAAAAAAAAAAAAATGTTTTCACAGTCCTTGAATGTAATTCTGGATGAAGTGTCAGAAATAGTTTGAGTAATCATCACACCCCAAGAGGGTCACTGCCTCTGAGTTAATGAGCCTTTATCTATGTATAGATATTTACGTGATTGTTTCAAAATCAGTCATTTTTAGTTACTGTTTGCATACTAACTGAATATAGAAGGCATATAATACCTTCTGGCGCTGCATTACTAAGTAGAATAAAGGAATCTGAGCAGTGGACGCTGGCCTGCACACTTTTAGGAACCACAGGTTCCATATATTCCTGTCTTTTCATCATACTTCTTCAAACAATGCTTTTTGTTTGTCTCTCTCTTAAAACATTCACTAGGTTCCTCTAGAGATCTATCACCTCACTTACCAACTTGGAAAACTTCATTTTGCTGTGATTTTTTTCCTATCCTATTAAGTTGGTGTTTATAATAAACTACAGGCTGATACGGTTACTGTGATATATTCAATGGTAGATTGGATGAATGCCCAAAGAGTCCTTCAGTGTATCTGACAGGTAGGGCTATTACTGAGATCAGAGAACTTAGAAGGTTAAGTTTTGTTGTGAATTAAATACAGTTTCAAAATCTTGGTTGGCTCTATCATATAACAGCTGCAGGCTCTGGGGACTTCAGATTCTTCATCTTTAAAGTAAGGACCCAAACCGGCCCCTGAACATAATGAAATTATTCACATGTGTAATTTTCATAAAAGATACAGAAACACAAATGCCTATGATATTTTGTTTACGATCTAACAAATAAAGCTTGCCTGAAGATCAAAGTGGCCAGCTACTAGAGTTCTCACCTCTACTAATGCTCAGACCAAAAGGGAGATCCTGTCCTTTGATTTCATCTCCAGACTGCACTGCTCCTCACACTGTACTGCTATCCACCAAACCTCAGACTGGACTGCTTCTGTCTCCTCCCATTTAATATTCCTCCCTACTGCTGGGATTAAAGGCATGGGATCCCAAGTGCTGAGATCACATTTCTGTGAGTTCTGTTTTTCTTTTAGACTGGATCAATTTCATGTAGCTCAGGGTGGCTTTGAACTTATACTGAGAGCCATTTGGTTCCCCCCACCCCCAACAAGAGCTGGGATTAGTGGTGTGGCTACCACTACCTAGCCTCTAAGATTAACTTGTGTGACAAGCTTTGCACTGGGATCTTCAGACAAGCTGTATTTGTTAGATAATAAAGTATCACCACACCTTTGTATTTCGGGATGTTAAATTCTTCCCATATACTTAAAACAGAAAAGGTTTTAATGGTGCTATCAAACCAGAAGCTCTTAAGAGCACAACTGAAGACTGAAATTCTCCACAGGATGTCAGTCACTCAATAGTGCTAATGTTTTCCTAAAGAAAGATGAGAATCAGCCACTCATAATCATGACAGGGTCCACAGATTGCTATTTGGAAAAGTAAATGAAAGTCTTAAAGGTCAAATAAAGGCTTACAAATGAGAGAAAAACAAAGGGATATTTCCACAAAGTTGGTAAATACTAAATGGCTACTTTGAGTCTGGTTAGGAAAAAAAATGTGACAAAAGACTTTAGGGTTTGGAAAAAGTGATGAAAAATAATAAGCAGTGACCAAATACACTAAGGTTATTTACCAGGGGAAAAACAGAAAGTTTAAGTCATCATAGCCAGAACTATCTAATTCAAACACTCCTTCATTAATGCACAAAAGACAGAAAATTCAGCCCTATTTAGGTAAAAATTTATACCCCCTGACTCCTACATACATCTTAGATTTAAGATGTGTGAAGAAGTCATACTAGGAGTTAGAAAAATGGCTTCATGATGAGCACTGGCTGCTCTTCCAAAGGATACCAGTTAGATTCCCAACACAAACCAAAACACCTATACATATAAACTAAACTTAAAAAAGATAACAAACTATCTTAAAAACCGCAAGAGGTCATTTTATAAGAAGTTTCAATGTAACTCTCTAACTACCACTTAAATGTTACATTATCAGTAGACACTTGTAACAGAAAGTGTAATGTAGAGAAAGTTTAACGGCATTTAAAAATATACCTGGTAGAGATAAAGTACAGGGGCATATAAATTCTACAATCAAAACCCAAGGCTTAATATATATAAATTGAGTTTTATTCGCCCCCTACACACGTAGGCACCAGCAATGTAAACAAATGAATTTAGCAACAGTTACACAAATTCTAAGGAAACTATAATTCACCCTGACCAAAGACCGCATAAGCACAAAGTAAACAGTATCCACTGACTTGTTTTCTTGGTGGTTATAAGCTGTTCATGTATGTTACATAGCTTTTCGGGTTTATTCCTTGACTAAGTAAAAAAAGCAAATATCACAGCAGGCTCAAAGATTTGTAACTTCATCTTTCCTTAATAAGAACTTATAGGAAAAAATTACAGGAGATTTCAAACTAGAATGGTTAATAAAAAAGAAAACTGACACATAAGTTGGAGATTTATGACATCTTTGTGTCCACAGTTAAACAACTGTAATTATGAGCTGCTAAGGCAATGTCATAGTAACAAGTATGAACAAAGACAATGAAATTGAAAAGTGAGCAGGAAAGAGAATCCATTTATTCTTTAAGCTAAATTTCATCACGTCATTGTCAAAAGTCTGATTTCAGATCTCAGATCCAAAACTTTCGGCACCCTGACAGGTATTAGTAATTATTCATCTCATATCCCTATATAGCTATAGCTTCATCCTTGTGCAAATGAAAACAGTGCGAGAAGGTAATAGACGCAAAGCACTGCTTAGGACTCCACACCTGATAACTATTACCATAACCATGACCGCAATCATCTCTCAGAGTGGGCCAGAACCCGAACTCCCAAGTACTACACTGTGGGACTTTGCATATGATTAAAAATTTGAGGTTATCAGAATATGTGGGTATGAAATTGGAAAATGCACATTTCCAAGGTGGGGTGCTGCATCCAGAAAGACACTAAATCTTTAAAAGGGTATGTAGACTTTGGGGGATAAAATGTGGTAATTTACATCACTAATTTTTCAACATTCAAATTTACATTCATAATCAAAAGTTTGCTGGTTTTCAAAGAAAACCATGAATATGTGTTTATATGCATTTTATGTAGGTGTATAAATTTTTAAAGCTTGTGAAAGTTTATTTGTGATGAAATACTGATTTGTACCTGTCAATATAACTAAAACGAGAGCTGGGCACTAATGACATCAAGAATTTTTTTTTTTTTTTAATGATAGGTTCTCACTATGTATCTCTGGCTGGCATGACCTTAAAGACCCACCAGCCTCTGCCTCCTAGGTGCTGGGATTATAGGTATTAGCCACAATGCCTGGCATTAAAAATGTCTTGACTGTACTATACACTGTATATTAATTAACTACTACCCATGGTAACAATATTACATTAATGAGTGTTTTCTCAAATGCCAAGGTTAAAACCAAAGATATTGAAGTATGACATATATTTGCATAATTACACATAACAGTGAATTAGATACTAGCCATTATAATTGGAAATTAAAAAGTTTTGTATTAGGCTGGAGAGATGGCTCAGAGGTTAAGAGCACTCACTGGCTGCTCTTGCAGAGAACTTGAGTTCAATTCCCAGGACCCACATGGCAGCTCACAACTGTCTAATTCCAGTTTCAGGGCATCTGACACCTTCACACCAATGCATAAAAAATAAAGTTAAATGAATTATTTTTAAAAAGTTTTGTATCATACATCTCCAATATGATTTACTAATTTTCATTACTAGCATACAAAACCTAGAAATATTTGTATATAGAGTACTTTCACACCCATTCTATCTCTAAAGTAAAGTTAACTCATTATCATTCTCATCATACCAAAAGTGCAATACACACCCACACACACACAAAAAAAAAAAACCTACATAAGGTCAGATGTTCCTAGAATAAAGATATATTCCAATGTATTGCAACATTACTGATTTAAGCAATTGCTTTTTGAAGATCATATGAGATACAAATCAAAGTGTCTTCATATTTTAAATAACATGCCTGAAGGGCTCAAAAACTGCATGTGACCAACTTTTTCTAGGTTAACAAATACCAAAGCTTAAATGTAGAGGCTCTGGTATTACTGAATCTAACTTTCAACTTTAACACCAAAAACAGGGCCTGGTCTTGAGATTGCTCAGCAGGTAAAGGCTTACAGACCTGAGTTCCATCCCCAGTAGCCACATGGTGTAGATAGATATCCAACCTCTGAAATTGTTCTCTGATCTCCACAAGTGTGCCATGGGATAGACACAGGCCACCCCCCCCACACACACATACACAGTCACAAATAAATCTAATAAAAGTTTAGAAAAATAAACACCAAAGGGGAAAAAAAATAGAACTAGTTGGCCCTTAGCATGCCAGAAGCATGATTTGTGAATTTGGAATCTTGGATTTAGTGATTTTTTTTAAAGAAAGAAATCATTCCTAGCATATGTTTTACAAAGTTATTCTGCAAACTTAATGTGCTCAGAATATGTGCAAATATCCTTCACAATATAGTAGTTCTGGTAAGCAAACCAAAAACTGAATTCAATTATAGCGAATTTGACTTGTTTGGCTTTAACATTTTATTTCTATAAATTTAATGAACAAAATCTCCATTTTTTCTATAATGGTCTTAATACACCTTTGTCATCTACGTCAGTCAAAAGCAACTTAGCATTCTTCCACTTGACTTTTTCTGGTCACAGCCAATATTCTAAGTGATTTAAAATTTAAACCTATTCCAGTATAGACAATATCCTTCCCTTAATATAAACCAGTTGAATGGTTTTAAAAAAAAACAAACTTGTTAAACACAATAGCAATTCCTCAGCATACATTTTTTTCAAAGTATTACATTTCCTTTCAAGGAATAAAAGGATAATCCATAATCCATTCCTTTTTGTTCACCTTCAAATTAAGATGTCGCTGAGAAACTAAGCCAAGAAAACAAGGGGAAAACAAAGTCAAGAAAAAACAAGGGGAAATAATAGAAAAAAACAGAGTACTTAAAAAAAAAATTACTATCAGTTTGTAAGCAAAATTGCTGGAGTCAATAAATCCTTCTAGAGTAGGACAGTCTACTTGTCATCGAAGGCAAGCCAACTTCATTAAAAGCCAGTAACAGTGAACTCAAATCTAAGCTGGTATTAGTGATGAACAAAAATACTTCTTAACTATTATCCCTTGCTCATCTGTGTCTCAGTGCCCCAAGTCTAGTAACTAAACGTGTCACTCTAGAATCTAGAAATCTAATGCAAACGAACCAAAAGGAACAGGAACAATTTTTTATTACAGCAAACTGAAAAGAAATACACAGGTAACAATTAATAACGTAAATGCTGTGTTATTTACGTCTCCACTACAAAAGGATTTGTTTGTTATAAATTAGTATTTTACAAGTCTTCCTCACTCACGAAATGTATCCATAAACTTGGTAAAGGCATAATTTATTAAAGTTGGTTTTCTGATTCTGGCCAGTTTGTCCCATTTGAAATGTCCATGGTGGGTAGTGGCAATAGCTATTTTCCACTCTCCCTCCATGTGCACCTTCCATTACTAAAATAATCTAGTGAGGTGTGGTTTTACAGAGGTTCTAAACACCCAAGAAAGGAGAATTTATAATATTGCTACATGTACCACAGCTACACAGAAGTATTTTCAGGTTCCTTCTAGAACATAGGGTGTTACCTGATATTCAATGTGATTAAAAACTCTCAGTAATTCCATGAACGCCTATTTAAAACCTTAACAAAACAGTCCACTGCAACATCGCAGAAGTCAAAGCGAATATACTCAAGTTTATGCACTTCAGAGCAGAACAAATATTCCAAACAGTCTTGGTAAAATTCACTAGCAAGCATACTGTCCCAGTTAATTTCCTGAAGTTCTGTCGCATATATCCGGGTCCTTGAGAAGTTAAAACAAGAGAAAAATTTTAAATAAGCAGACTTGTTAATATTTTTAAAAGCGGAGACATGGGTACCCCTTAATTTCTCGCGGTTACAGAGCGGTTAGGGGGCCCGGGGACATCACCACCTCTCTAACGGCTCTCTCACACGTCACGGCCTTCCAGAAAGTTTTAGCTCTAAAACCCACCTCAGACATTCACAAAGGGAGGCCACTCAAGATCAGTTGCCATTGTGATTCCGGGCTCGCTCCGGCTTTCTCCGTCCTCCATACCCCTCACCCAGGAGAGGGGAGCTCTGCGGAGTCGGGGCCGGAGAGCCAGGAGCTGAAGACTGCCAACGAGTGTGCCGGCCAGGCAGGGGGCGGCCAGGCTGAGCGCCCCCCGGGCCGCGTGTCAGGCCCGGGGCCCCCGGGGCCCCCGGGGCGGGGATCACTGGGGGAAGCCGGGCTAAGCCGCCGCCGCCGCCCGCGGCACCGGCCCCCGGCGGGCCGGATCCCCGGTCCTCGCATTCCCGCCGGGCTCCTGGAGCCCGCCCAAGCCAGGGCCCTCAGTTCCCCGCGCTCCTTCGAGTTGAGCCTGGCGCCGGGGCCTGAGGCGGGAGTGAGATCGCGGGCGGACGACGGCTCCAGGCCCCGAGCCCACCGCTTTCCCTCCCCACCCACAGCCCGCCGCGCCCGCGGGGCCTGCCCGGCGCCGCCCGGGACGCAGGGCAGGAAGGAGGCCGAGGAGCGGCGGGCCTGTCCGGTAGCCGCTGGTACCTTGTAGAAAGCGCCATTGGAGCCCCGCACTTCCACCACCAGCTCCTCCATCTTCTCGTCCGTCCTCGCGCCAGGAGCCCGCCTCCGAGAGGTGGGCTGCAGGCGCTCCAGGCCCAGCCGCCGCCGCCGCCGCCGCGTTCCCGCACGCCCCCCGGCAGCGGCGCCGCCGTCACTGCCACCGCCCGCGCTCGCCGTCCGTTGGCTTCCCTGCCCGCCCTCTCAGGCGCGGCCCCTCACCGGAAGTGAAAGCGAAACGCTGCCGAGAGCGCCTGACTGACTGAGGCCGACCGCTCTGCCCGCGCCTCGTGTAAACAGTCAGACGGCGTCACGTGCCCCGGCACGCCACGCCCCCCGCGGGCTCGGCCCCCTCCGCCCCGCCCTCGTCTTCCCCCCCCCCCCCCCCCGGCGCGGCCGCCACGGCATGCGCATGCGTCCTCCTGGGAACCTGCCCAAAGGAACAGGGCGGACCCTGTGGCGAGCGCGCTGGCTGGAAGGCGGGAAATCGCAAAGGGCGGTGACAGGTAGGGCTGCCTCTGGTCAGCCGGCTGGGCCTAGAGGCCGTTTCTGGACGGGACGAAGCGAGGGGGAAGGGAAAGGGCTCCAGTGTTGAACGTGGGGCCCGAGTGGGCTGCTGGGGCTTCGGGTACATTTTTCTCCGCAGTAGCGTTGATCTGATTGATCTGGAGGTTGGAGTAGGAGGGGGCAGGCAAGAAAAGTGATAAATTCCCTTGCACCCCACTTTGATCTACAACAGTGCTAACTACATGGACCCTGGCTTCTGAGACCCATGCAGTCAGAAAGCAAAGGGAACTGCTATACCTCCAAGAGATTTGGGGAAGTGTCGGTACAGCCTGGAGTTTTTCAGGAGCAATGAGCTGTGTCAGGACTTCCAGAATTGTTATCCCGTTCTCAGGCAATGCTGGCCCACACACTTTACTTTCTTTCAGACTTTTACTTAGCGTTCGAAATAAAAGAGAGAGAGAATGTTTTAAACACTTGCAATCTGCGTCTACCTGTTCTATGTGTGCTCCGTACCAGAGGGTGAACATCACTAAAACAGTCACGTAACGTGTACGTCTTTGTGCCTTTTCCATGCAGCTCTCTTTCTTTACCTTCTACAGCAGAAGCAAGCCTAACTTTGCTCTTCTGGCCTCTGTACTGGGCTTGTGTCCAGCCTGACCCATGTTCCCTTAATCTAGAAGGCTTGAATCCAACTGAGGAGTTCATTGAATGACTATCATGTGCCAAGCACTGTATTAAGTGCTAGTGAGTCACTGTAAAGGGAAAAAAAAAGTCATCATTGAAATTATAATAGCCAGGACTAAACGAGCAAGATTTAACTTTTCAAAACTGTGGTTAAAGCATTTGCCATGCTAAGTTTTTGAAGCCCTAGGACCCATATATAGCTGGGCTGTATACATGTCCTGTATATAGTCTAAGTAATCACTCACACAGTTGAGTCCCCAGAAATTCACAGGTTAGGATATCTTACCCAGCTGTGACCAACAAAGAGAGAGATACTATCACTAGGTAGAAGGCAAGAACTGGCACCAGAGGTTATGCTCTGACCTCCGCTCATGTGCTGTGGTGTATGTGCATGCCCATACTCACACACAGACAGACACACACACACACACACACACAGAGAAATGTAAATGTGTTAATGTAATTTTGATTAAGTCTATAATGTGTGGATGTACCTTTTTATAGTTGGATATAATCTGTTTGTGATATGGAGAGATAACCACAAAAGCAAGATGATTCCAGCTGGAATGTGAAAGAGAAAACTTATTTGCAAGTGTGCACTTGGAGGAAGAAGGGTTAATCGCCCCAGGCATATGTTCTAGTGCTAGTATGAAAGGCATGTTGGGCTTCCAGTTCCCAGCCTACCCCAGCCATGTTAATGCTGTTGGAACTCGAGCTTTAAGGCAGTGGATCAAGGGCCATATTCCTTGAAGCTACACTACACAGAAACGATCCATTAAACTGGGATCTTTGGAGTAACCACAATATACTAAGACCCCAGTAGAGCTGAAAACAAATCTCATCATGGACATTAATTCTAGTGTGGTACAAGGGGACATATTGATTGCAAAGATTATGTCTTCCAGGTGTAACATACGCAGTTTGCCCAGGGCTTTCAAACTTGTCAGTACTTCACTAACGTCACTGGCCCATGACATAGTTTCATGACTTCTTGTCACTGTACATATTTTTCTTTCCCCTTAATGTTGCTAAGTACAGTCCAAGTGTTTAGTTGTTTCACTTCAAATGCAGATATTTGAGTGAACTTTTTTGTTTTATTTTTTTATTCATCGAGTGAACTTTCCATTCAATTCTCAGCATGCTCTCCTTAGCGCTTATATGATCCCTCTTTTGCTCATAATATTGTATATGTTATTTGTATTGATCTTTCTCATTCACCTCTCTCATTTCTCTAAGAACCATTTGTTTATTAATGAATTAGTAGTTTAAGATAGTGTTCTTAAGTACAGATTATCTCGTAGGGTAGGCTGGCCAGAACTCAGTATGTAGTAGGAGCTATTCTTGAGTTCCCTATCCTTCATTCTCCATTTCGAGAGTGCTGGGATGAAAGGCATGTGCCAGAATGCCTGCCACAAAACAAATAGTATTTGCGTATGGCTCTTATGTTTACAGAGATGCTACTGGACTATAAATCTGCTTCCCACTGTTGCCATTAAATTTTTATTTTAAAATTTTCTTTTGAGACAGGGTCTTACTATTTAGCCTTGGCTGGCCTTGAATTCACACTAATCTATTTGATCCTGCCACCTCCCCCCCAGCCCCCCCTCCCCCCGTGTCATGAAAGCTCTTGCAATTGTCTTTACACACCTTGGAAAGAACTTTGTGTCTGTTCTCTTACAGATTTGTGTACATACTTCCTGTTTCTTTTTAGCACTAAAGTCTTAATAGTCTACTGTCATATATAATACACTAGAATTATTTATACACGTTTATTTTCTTCACTGGACTGTTAGTACAATCTAGGCAGAAAAATATCTTCTTTGCCCTTGTACTCTAGCTAGATTAAAAGTGTTTGCTGTTTTTTCCTCACTGCTTAGATCCGGTGTGACTTTGGATTCCCTCTTATTTTTTTATTTCAGAGGTGAAGTTGTACTCTACAGCTCATGGTGGGGTCTTTCCTCCTTGATTTCAAGTCTCAGCCTCACTCTGATGCCTTGATTTTACAATCCTCCCATTGCAAGACACTTTAGCCCTAATTACAATACTTCTCTTCCAGTTAGTTTTCCTCTCTGGTTCTGATGACCTGAGTTGCCCAAACTGTGTCATTTTGACTCAGATTTCTCTCAGACCTGATCAATACCAAATCTTTTCAGAGTCTAGAATCTACTTCTTAGCATATGTATATTATCAACGTTTACATTCTTTTTATATATATTTATTAGTTTTTCTTATTTTCCATATCGATTCCAGTGCCCTCTCCCTCTCTCTCCCTCTCTCCCTCACTCCCTCCCATGCTCCCTGACCGCCCTCCCATCCTATGCCTCCCCACTCCACAGGGAGGATGATGCCCTCCAGGAGGGATCATCAAAATCTGTCAAGTGATTTGGAGCAGGGTCTAGGTCCTACTCAATGTTTCCATTCTTTCTCCTGGTTTCCAGTACCCATTCTTGTCTTCTTTTGTCATTTCCCGAAGCAATACCCCTGCTTATGCGTCATGCCTATCACACTGCCATTCAAAACACTTCAATTGCAGCCCTGGTAAAATTGCTTTGGTAAAATCAAAAGTCATTATTCAAGTCTCAATGTTTGATATTTTCTGGTATCTTTTATCTCTTCTGCCTTACATTCTAAATTTCACAATCACTCCATATAGCTATGATACTTTTTTGGTGTCTTAAAAATGTCAGATAAGTAGTTAATCTATTTTCACTAGAATGTAAACTTAATAAGAAAAATAATTTTCCTATATTTATTGCTTGTGTCACCAATATCTGAAACATAGTAGATGGCTTCTAAATATTTAGTGAATGAATGAGTGAGTGAATGAATACATACTGAAGACTCAGCATGAATGAAATCTGCTCCCATACCTATACTTCAGAACTTCTGACCCCACTATGGCCCCTACCTTCCATTAAATAGCTGTCTTCGATGTCCATCTTCCATCTTCCTTTCTGACACAGGTGGTGTTGCCAGGAGAAGTTGTGCTTCACTGTTAAGAAAAACCCTAAACCATTTAAAATGCCATATTCTGTAGGTCTTTGAAAGGTTTGAAGAATGCCTATCTCAAATACATCTCTGTGTATCTTGAAAAACCTAACTACCTTAACTCTAAGCTTTGACTATTATAGGTAACTATCTATAATCTGTACTACATTATACATTATTTTTAAATGAGCTATATAAACACAATGCCTAAACAAGAGGAGAAATATACATATCACAAAATTGACCTTAAATTGTATCAATAAATGAAAATCCATTCCAAAAAAAGTATTGATATCTATACCATAATCTCCTTTTTACCTTTAAAAAGAGATTGTTTGTGGTCATTAACCATTTATAACCAACCCCATTTAAATGAGAACAAACATTTATAAACAAGATTTGGGAATCTGGGCATCGTTCTTTCCAAACTACTTCCTGCTGGTAGGAGGTGTTGTCGTGGGGATCCTAAGAAGATGAAGAAATCCTGGCTTTAGTCTGTAAGGCTGACTTGTCCAAGCTGTTTTGAATGCAGGATCACCTGGTACTCTGTTTCAGGGGGTCTGGCTTGATCAAACCACATTAGTCTGGAAGGAATCCATAGCTTTCCATTTTCTGTGGAAACAAAAATAGAAATCCTTTTCCCCAGTAGCCTGTCCTTGAACTTAAATGTTGGAGTCAAAGCATTTTTAAAATATATAAATTGAATTCATCCAGTAGCATTTCTTTTATCAGTTGTTATTTCCTCAGCAGTTAAACAATTTAAAGACAACAGAATAGCATATAGTATCCACAGTTTTTCTGTGTGTTCCATCTTTATGTGGCTTTTTTATTACGTTGTTTCTTTTACTTTTTCATTTTTTTTATTTTTTGAGACAGAGTTTCTCTGTGTAACTTTTATCTGTCCTGGAATTCACTCTGCTTACCAGGTTTACTTGGAAATCACAGGGATCTGCTTGCCTCTGTCTCCTGAGTGCTGGGATTAAAGGCGTGTGCCACCACACCCAGCTCCTCTCTTTTTTAAAACCATTTTATTCCTTTTCTCTCCCAAGCCTACATATATTTTAGAATACACTGTAAACCTTTAGA